TTCCATCTTTACACCATACTTATACATAAGAGACAGAAACATTTCATAAGTCATATCATCACATAAGGACCATTACCTAAGAAAACCCTAAGTCATACTTGTGCAATGTGCAAGTAGCATCCCATACTACTACTCACACTAAGTATTCCTTTGAAGTCACCATAGGCAAGACACATTCATATACAATAAGTCATGACAAGGACGTAACTCATAATACAATCCAAGTAGAGCATACATTTTCACATTTAAGCATATAAGAGTCAATATTCTTCATTAGCTTCATTAAGAGAACTTTCATTCAGTAATCATTAAGACCTTAGAGAACACATTATGTCCCTCTCAAAGCCTACTCGTGCAATGCATGGATGGCATCCCATACTACCACCCACATCAATACTACCTCCCACACTTCATAGAACTTCTCAATAAACCATAATGCACTTCTCACATGATGGGAATAGGCATTAACCGACATAGACCATGAGAGCTAAATCATGGAATCCGGTGTCATATGACCACACACCAAAGGAAGGAGTTCTACTTGCTTAAGGTAGAACTAGTAACATTTTTAGCTTGGTGGATCCACAAACTAAAATCATATGTGGGCACATAGTTATGGGATAGGAAGATACTCGTTGGAGCCTGGCCTAATATGGGAGACTTTCCATATTATCATATCCTCTCGGTGTTTAGCCTCCATTCCCATAGAATAGTTCATTAACATTAACAATATTGTACTTCTGAGGGGTACCAACTTTAGTCCTACCGACCCAAAGTACATTACACATGAAAGGGTCACCACCATTAGGTCTATCGATTCAAGGTACATTAGGGATAGCTCATTAACTTTCCAAGAAGGGTGCCATAAACATTGGGTCTACCGATACAAGGTCATCATTTCACACATGAAAGGGCTACTAACACTAGGTCTACCGATTCAACGTTTATCATCACATTAGTTTGTAGACTCATCATGAAGGGCTACCAAACTAGGTCTACCAGTTCATGTCATAGCCTAGAATACTTCATCATTCATTTATGAAAGGAATGCCATTGGCCTATCGATTCATATTCATCAAGTCAAGACACATTCATTACACAAGAAAGGATGCCTAAGCCTACCAACTCAAGATTCAACAATCAACAATACTTTCATTCATTCAAGAAGAGGATGCATAAGCCTACCAATTCAATATAGTTCGTTCATGATCACAATCATCAATACAAGAAAAGGATACTTTAAACCTACCAATTCAAGATATACATTACATTGAAGAAAACCCTTCACATTCTATCAACATCATTCATGAGTGTTAATTAAGAATATGCTTTCAATAAATAAGAAAAGTACATTGTAAACATGATCATACCATATTCATTAAGATCACACACATATACTTCTCATCATAATCATACCTTAACTTTCATACCTTGCCTTTTAAGGCCATGGATCACTTTCACCCACAACCCTTAGATTCATACAATTAGGCAAGAGTAATAACATAATTTCAACTTTCTATATCCATGTAAAGATAAACGGTTCACATACATCATGTTCAATCAATTCCCACTAACAAATCACAACTTAGGAATTTAGGGGAAAACATGGGTTCAAGGAAGAAATCATTTTAATTCACCTTTAGATCAACAATTCATTCATAATTCAATGCAATAAAGCCTTTGAAAAACGTTTGGAATAGAACCCATGCATAAATTGAATACTAGGGTTTTGGGGAAAACATTGGAGACTTGGAATTACTTTGGAAATTGGCTCCTTGAAAGAAACTAAGTCAAGGATGAAGACTACCATAGCTTTTATGGAAGAAATCCGTGAAAATCCCTTGAAAAACTTGAAGTCTTAACCTTGGAAGCTTGAATCCTTCACCTCCAATGGAGGTTTCAAGAGAGAGAACTTTTGGAGGGGAGGGGAAGTTTGTATTTTGGGTTCTGAAATAATAAAGTCTAAAATATGTTTTAATACTTTACAAACCCTTAAAATACATTAATAAACCAATTAAAACCGTCCCCCAACTAAACTAGACTTAAAAAGCAATTTACCAAACTAACCTCCACTTAGCCGAACCCTTGACAACTTTTGCAGGTGTGAACCACGACCACCCACCCATGGACCGTGGGTGGGACCACGGCCCATCCTGGTATTCCGTGGTTCATGGCTGCAGGTCATATTTTGGGGGGTCTGACCTATAGAGGCCATCCACGGGGCGTGGATAGACCTACAGGGAGTGGTCCCTTTCCGTAGGTCACCAAATTTTAAGAAACATTCAAGTTTCCTTAGGGTCTTGGGGGTTAGGCTAAGGGTCCTCCTCAAGGACCCCTAGGGTGGTCCTTCGGGATTTGTACCTTGAAGTTTAACCCCTCAACCATAGCTAGGTACAACATCTTACACCCTCAAACCTCACATCAACTCAAACACAAAGTCGATAGGCTCTAGTTTCACTTATTCGTTCTATAGGTACTTACATTATCCCCCACTTGGAAATATTCACCATCGAATGACACTTTAAACACATTAAGGGGTTAACGAGTGAAGACTGGCATCCCATCATGTATGCAACATCATAAACAAATGCACAAAACTAGGAGGAAACATCAACTCCACATCAATAAGCTCAATGCAACACAAGAAGGTAGGAACTACATCTACAAACTCATTATGCATCATAACTTCAACATTTCTCATTTCATTCGAGGAATCACCTTCTCCTACTCACATCGTGCTCATCATAACATCATATAGCACATTATGCAATTTCTTCATAAGAACACATTAATTATGTTCAACAATTCACCTCATGAAGCATATAGACAACTTATACTAAATGTATATCAACAAGAGGAACATAATTCATACACACTCAGTTTCTTATTCAAACATAAACACATTAAGAACATGCATAACATAAGGAGACCATGGAAACACAGTCACACATGACTACAAAACATGAAACAAGCTATACAGAACTTTTGGTTTCAAGCTTGAATAAGAATAGAAGGAAAGATATAAGGATATCAAAACTCTCAACTACCTTACTATTCAACGTACTATCCCCCACTTAGGAGTAAACCCAACTAAGGCTTATCATTAACATAAAATAGGACATGAAATAGGGGTTATTGTGCCCTATATGCAACCAGGGGTTATTATGCCCTGTGAAGACATAGAAAAATAAAAATAGGGGTTATTGTGCCCTATATGCAACCAGGGGTTATTATGCCCTGTGAAGACATAGAAAAATAAATAGGGGTTATTGTGCCCTATATGCAACCAGGGGTTATTGTGCCCCGTGAAGACGATGAAAATAAAAATAAGAGGTTATTGTGCCCTATATGCAACCAGGGATTATTAAGCCCTGTGAAGACATGAAAAAATAAAAATAGGGGTTATTGTGCCCTATATGCAACCAGGGATTATTAAGCCCTGTGAAGACATGAAAAAATAAAAATAGGGGTTATTGTGCCCTATATGCAACCAGGGATTATTAAGCCCTGTGAAGACATGAAAAAATAAAAATAGGGGTTATTGTGCCCTATATGTAACCAGGGATTATTGTGCCCTGTGAAGACATGGAAAAATAAAAATAGGGGTTATATATATATGTTTTTTTTTACTGATATTATTATTATTATTATTATTATTATCATTTATTTTTTTTTATTTTTTATTTTTGTACATTTTCCAAACATAAAAGAAACAAACAAAAAATAAAAATAAAATAAAATGCCCATATTTTATTAAGAAAAATAATCTTTTTTATTGTTATTATTATTATTATTATTATTATTATTGTGGTGCATATTGTAGGAGAGATAGGGAATCAAGAACTTACCTCGTGGCGTTTGACTCTCGCGAATTACTTGCACGATTTTCTTTGTACCTATTTTGTAACAAAGAATATTTTGTTAGATTTTCTAAATGGTGGTTGGTTTGTGACTTCGAATATCTTGTGGAGTTTGACTTTGAATCTGTCTTGGTTGAAAGAATCATCATATTGACGATTGCGCGAATAGCTTGAAGATGCTTTAGAGACGGTCCTTATCTTCCCTTGACACACTTCTCATGAACATTTTGACCCATTTCCATTTTGTGCACGTTGTGTGGTTCATCTTTTCCAAAGCAACTTTCTTTCTTTATCGATTTTTCACACGGTATCAATTTTTGACATTTTTTTTTGATTGGTTCACAGCCCTAGTGAACGGTGTGCATGCCCCCAACATTCAACTGGAAATACCGTAGTCGATTTCGCGACTTTAATTTGATTTTCTCACTTGACACGAGTTTACGCTGAATGAGACTCAAAGAATACCGAACACAAGTACAAATGACACAAATGAAAGGGTTATGAAAGAAAAGTTATGTCTTTAGAAGGAGGAAATAAGTAAATGTTTAAAAGGAATGAAAAGAATCTTATCTGAAAGTACGTGACCACTTTAATGAATCATGACATGCATTTGGACTGAACGTTTGATCCTTCTAAGTTGTCCAAATCTCATGAAACAATGTTGTACCTTTCAGTCTATAGCCTGACTTCTATCTTGATTGTGCTCATGCCAAAACGGAATGTCATCATTTGATCAATTGTGCCCTTCGTGGTTTTCCACCAATAAGACATTATTATCTCTTTCTCTCAACTTACTATCGTCTTACGGTGCCCGTGAGGGTTTTCACTCGTCAGACTCTCTCATTTCTCTTTTTCGTTTTTTTTTTCTTTTTTTTTTTGTTGTAACACACCGTAGGTCACAATGTCATGTCTCAGCCCTTGGAGAATTGAAGAACATGATTATTGTTTTATTCAGTGATTAGATCGAACCTCAATGAAGGGTTGCCTACGTATCCTCTTAGGAATCAGGTCGAACATAGTTCAATGAAATCTTTTTTTTTTTATATATATATATATATTTTTTATTTTATTTTTCCTTTTTTTTTTTTTTTTATTTTTAGCACCAGACAAGTAGTGCTTGAAATAAAGGAGGATACATTTTTATCCTCTCATCTTGAGAATGTCAATCACAAGAGTGCCATAACAAAGAGTGTTAGACGTAGTATCTTTTGATCGAATCTGCGTTGACAATTGTGTCGATCGCCTTTCCCTCCATATCTGCCAGTTGCAAAGCTCCTTTGATAGCACTTGTTTAATAACATAAGGGCCTTGCGAATTTGGGGCAAACTTTCCTTTGGCCTCGTCTTGATGGGGAAGGATGCATTTCACAACAAGTTGACCGACTTCAAAATTTCTTGGGCGTGCCTTTTTGTTATAGGCTCGAGCCATCCTCTGCTGATATAATTGACCAAAGCAAATTGAGCTCAGCCATTTTTCATCTATCAGTGCTAATTGTTCTAACCTTGATTTAACCCATTTCGTGTCCTCAATTTTTGATTCGACAATGATTCGAAGAGAAGGGATTTCAACTTCTGCGGGTATGACAACCTCAGTTTCGTAAACCAATAAGTAAGGAGTTGCACCGACTGACGTACGAATAGTCGTGCGATATCCCAAGAGAGCAAAGGGTAGTTTTCATGCCACTGTCTAGATCCTTGCACCATTCTCCTAAGAATCTTCTTGATGTTTTTATTTGCTGCTTCAGCAGCCCTATTTGCTTTGGGTCGATAAGGGGTTGAATGACGATGAACAATTTTAAATTGCTCACAAACTTCCTTCATCAGGTGGCTATTGAGATTCGCTGCATTGTCCGTAATAATGATTTTTGGTATGCCGAAACGACATATGATGTTTGAATGAACAAAGTCCACCACTGCTTTCTTGGTGACTGATTTGAATGTGACAGCTTCCACCCACTTGGTAAAGTAGTCGATGGCAACTAAAATAAATCGATGCCCATTAGATGCTTTCGGCTCAATTGGCCCAATAACGTCCATTCCCCAAGCCACAAAAGGCCACAGAGCAGACATAGGGTGCAACTCTAAAGGGGGTGAGTGAATCAAGTCGCTATGAATTTGGCACTGATGGCACCTGCGAACAAATCAGAAGCAATCTCGCTCCATGGTCAACCAATAGTACCCTGCCCGGATAATCTTTTTGCTAGAACATAACCATTCATGTGAGGGCCGCAAACCCTGAATGCACCTCATTCATAATTGTTTCTGCTTCATGAATATTCACACATCGCAATAGATTCAAATCTGGAGTCCTTTTATATAAGATATCACCACTCAAGAAGAACCCATTGGCGAGTCGTCTAATAGTTCCTTTTTTATCTCTATCGGCATGTATTGGATATTCTTTAGCTTTTAGAAACCGTTTAATGTCGTGATACCAGGGCTCACCATCTGGCTCTACTTCAATTATATTGCAATAACCATGTTGATCCCTAACTTAGATTTCCAATGGGTCAATATAGGTATTACCCGGGTATGGAAGCATCGAGGCTAGGGTGGCCAAAGCATCAGCTAACTCTTTGTGAAACCTGGGTATGTATCTGAATTCAATGGACTTGAACTTTTTGATGAGGTTTTCTAAACATTGTTTGTACGGCATGAGTTTAATGTCTCGAGTCTCCCATTCGCCTAGAGCTTGTCGAATGAGCAAATCGGAATCCCCCAAAACCAACAACTCATGCACATCCAGATTTATTGCCATATTCAAACCCATGATGCAAGCTTCGTATTTTGTTGTGTTGTTGGTAGAAAAGAATCGAAGTCGTGCTGTGGCAGGATAATGACATTTGTTTGGTGAGATAAGACTCTGCCCCAATTCGTACTCCATTTTTGTTGACAGCCCCATCAAAATATAATTTCCACACGTGACCATCATCAGGAATTTCTTCCTCAATAGAGTTGATTTCTTCATCAGGGAAGTATGTCCTTAGGGGATCATATTCGTCACCGATCGGATTCTCTGCCAAATGATCGGCCAATGCTTGTGCTTTCATGGCGGTGCGAGTGACATACACAATATCAAATTCCGTAAGCAAAATCAGCCATTTTGCCAACCTACCTGTTGGCATGGATTTTTGAAAAATATATTTCAAAGGATCCATTCGAGATATAAGATAGGTCGTGTAGGACAAAAGATAGTGTTTCAATTTTTGGGCAACCCAAGTCAAAGCGCAACAAGTCTTTTCTAACAGAGTGTACTTTGCTTCATAGTTTGTGAACTTTTTGCTCAAATAATAAATGGCTTGTTCTTTTTCCCCGTAATGTCATGTTGTCCTAAAACGCAACCAAATGAATTATCCATCACTGAAAGATATAAAAATAACGGCCTACCAGGTTTTGGTGGGACCAGTACCGGAGGGTTTGCTAGATATTCCTTAATTTTTTCAAAAGCCTCCTGACACTCACTTGTCCATTTGATAGCAACGTCCTTTTTCAACAACTTGAATATCGGCTCACATGTGGAGGTGAGTTGAGCAATAAACCTGCTGATATAGTTTAACCTACCCAGAAAACTCATGACTTCAGTTTTGGTTTTTGGAGGTGGCAATTCTCGAATGGACTTTATCTTAGAGGGGTCCAATTCAATGCCTCTTCGACTAACTATAAAACCCAAAAGTTTGCCAGATGGAACTCCAAATGCACATTTAGCTGGATTAAGCTTGAGGTTGTACTTTCTCAATCTTTCGAAGAATTTTCTTAGATCACGCACATGATCGACTTGCGTTTTAGATTTAATGATGACATCATCGACATATACCTCAACTTCTTTATGCATCATGTCATGGAATATGGTAGTCATAGCTCTCATGTAGGTCGCTCCCGCATTCTTCAGACCAAATGGCATGACTCTATAACAATAGGTACCCCATGGGGTGGTGAAAGCAGTTTTTTCTGCATCTTTTTCATCCATGAGAATTTGGTGATACCCGGCGTAACAGTCCACAAAAGATTGAATCTCGTGTTTGGCACAATTATCAACCAGGATGTGAATGTTGGGTAATGGAAAATTGTCCTTTGGACTTGCTTTGTTTAGATCTCTGTAATCAACGCAAACTCTGATCTTTCCATCTTTCTTTGGCACTAGCACAACATTAGCCAACCAGGTAGTGTATTAGGCAACTCTGATCACATTTGCACTCAGTTGCTTCATGATTTCCTCTTTAATTTTATCGCTCATGTCTGTCTTAAACTTTCTCTGCTTTTGCTGGACAGGTGGAGAATCAAGATGTATTGGAAGTTTGTGAACCACTAAATCAGCACTTAAACCAGGCATGTAGTTGTAGGACCAAGCGAAGACATCTTTGTATTCAAATAAAAGTTGAATTATGTGGTCTCGAATATTCTGATCAACATGAATACTTATCTTTATTTCTCTCACTTCTTCAGGGGTTCCTAAATTAACCGCCTCAGTTTCACTTAAATTAGGTTTAGGCTTATTTTCGAATTGATCCAATCCCTTTTTTATTTCTTCGTAAGCTTCATCTTCATCATATTCGTCAGACTTAGGATTCATTGTTTCGAGATCAGACAACTTTTTAGGATCTAACTGTAAACTCCGCATGCATGTCATATTATTAAAGTCGACATTAACGTAACTGAAATGAAAAATAAGAGGACATATATTAGAAAGAGTAAGAACAGAGAAGATGATTGAATATGATTGTGAAACCAGAACTTCATTGCATTAAATGGGAAATGATAGAAGGGTTAACACCTAAGTGAGACAACTAGAAGGTTTGAATTACAACCCTGAAAATAATCCAAATAAACAAATTAAAAGCTGCAAAATAACACTACCAAGACTCCTTCCTTGTAGGGAGAGGAGTGGCTTCCCAGTTGTTGAGCTGGACATTCAGGCCGATGAACTGCACATCCATATGACTAGTGCCTTCACCCATCTGAGTCATGTTTACATAAAAAAACATTTCCTTGATACCTTGACACATTTCATCCACATCAT